AATGGCTCTCACCTCTGAAGAAATAGCTGGTTTGGAAGCAACAGCTGAGGATTTCCCTATCTTTCCGGAAACCTCACCTGAGTTTGAAAAGGTTCTGACTGAAATTGTTCAAGAGAAGGCAGCCTCTCCCCCACAAGAACAGAACCAGGAAGCAAATGAAGAAGAAGAATTTCAGCAACTGATCCAATCTCAAGTGCTCGAGATCCTCACAACTCCTTGTGAGATCTCCAATCAGACACAACTTGAGATTCTGGAAAAGTCAGCAGAAATTCCGGAACAGTCAGCTATTCCAGAAACCATGGAGAAAGCAGTAGAAGTCCAAAGGCACTCTGGAAAAACTGAGAAGGAAACTCAGATGGCAGAAGTGGAGGTCTCTTAAACTCAATAGCCATCTTTGAAGAACCAAATGAAGTTGAAGATAGTGACTCCCTCTCCAGATACATATCAAATTTTGCACTTGATGAAGCTGAAGGAGAATCTGAGAGGACACTAAAAGTCACTGATGAAGAAGATGTACAAGAAGATGCTGAATCTCTTCCTTTGCAACTCTTCCAAAGGACATCATCTCCTCATCAGGTAACCAATTTTCATTTCCATAGCTCTTCAACCCCTACCCTTCCGGATGAGATACCGGAAATCTGGACAAAGAAGGTCCAAGGGCTGATTGAATCAGCCCTAGCATCTCAACAAGCCTCCTTTAGGCAAGAGATAGAGCTAATGGACGCCAAACACACTCAGCTGATGGAGAAATCTGAAGAGAAACACAGCGCTGATCTCAAGGAGATGAGTAAATCAGTAGAAAAGACTCTAGAGATCATCTCTCTATTGAGTAAAACTGTGAGCAATACGATGGAAATATACACCTCTGACAGTCAACTACAATTCAATGAATTCAACAAAGTCAAGGAGCAAATAGCAAATGTCACAGTTGGTCTACAAAAACAGATGTCTCTTCTCCAAATGGACATCAGATCAGCCCTAGCAATAGCTTCAGCAAATCAGGTAGTAACCAAAGACTACTTGAAGGTGATCATTGACAATCAAAAGGAAGCATACAAGCTGTTCAGACTTATTGGTGCACATACTGGGAACCGCAAGATGGAAGTGATTCTCCAACAACACAATCCATCTCCAATACCATAGCTCCCAATTGCAGTCAACGAAGGAGAAGCATCTTATATCCCTTCTCATCTGAACATGACAAATTTAATCCTTGAAGCACAGCAAAGAAATCCGGAAACTCAGCACAGCACCTATCCAGCTCAGGACTGGATGGAACAGAATTTATAGGTGCAGTTGCTGACCACTTCTCAGATGCTACTCAATCAGAAGAAAGGCGTGAAAACTTAAAGCGCATCAAAGAACTGTGTGGGAATATGCAAGGCATCAGTGAGGTTGCCGGATCTTCAAAACGCAAAAGGAACTGAAGGTTCTTTTTCATCAAACTAGGGGGAAAGTATGTGAAAACACTAATTTGTTTTGATGAAAACACCTTCCTGTTTAAACATTGCTTAATTTGTTTAAACATTGCAACATTGCTTCAACAATTTTCTTAATTACGCTTATTATGCTTGATTATGTTTATCTCAAGTATGATTTTGTCTTAATTATTTCTCTGAAGCGCATACATTCAGGGGGAATGTAATTCAGGGGGAACTTACCTAGTTTTGGCTAACAATTGTTTTTGGCTATGAATTATTGATGAGCTCTAAGCAATGGAAGTCAGATATCTCAGTTTTGGTACTAAAATTGGAAATCTCCGATTCAGGTACTTTACAAAATCTGCCTTCTTAAACTAAGCTTTAATCTTTAATTCATTTCCAACAAGCTCTAAAAGTACTGGCCCTTAGGATTTTTATAATGTACAGGACTTTGGAAAAATAGTACCACTTTTCTTTTAAAAAATAAAAATTCATATTTGTTTTGGTACTACCTCATCCTAGTTTAGAAATTAGAACTATAGGGAATGAAAAATGATAGTTTTATTTTGGGCCTTGAGAACCCAATAGGAATAATTTCCCTTTAGTACAAAGCTTTCTTTTCTTTTTGGGCCACTCTTTTGGGCTTAGCCAAACTAAAACAGTTACGTTTCTCAAACCAAATGAAACTGATTTTCAAATTGGAACAGTTTCAATCCATTGGTAACTGGTAAAAGATTCCTTTTACTTTTCAACTTCTTGGAAGTTGAAACTCCTTTACTCTCACCGTTCCAACTACCCACTTAATGGAACCTGGTGAAGAATTTTGGTTTAACTCAAAATTCCCGTAGTAGTAAAGGGAACAGACTAGACCTTTAAAAGATCAGTTTATCCCGTGTCGTCTCAAGGATCGGCCCAAGGGAAAGTTTAGCAAGGCTAGCTAGACAAGGTTTACTCGTTGAATTGAAAAGTTTTCAATAAGTCGAATAAGGAATGGAGATTGAATTTTACCTTTCAGGAATAAAGAGTAGGGATGTAATTATTGGTGAGGTGATGATTCTTTTTAGAGTAAAATCACCGGTTGCTTTTATTTTAAATCTTTTTACTAGTAAGTAAGTATCTTTTCAAATACTTACTTAACAATCAATCCAATGTCTAAAGATCAATTATCAAATTACTGGGCTTGACTTAATTAAATTCCAGATTTCTCAAGAAATATAATTTTCAAGAATAGATTTGCCTTCTCTCGATTTACAAATCTCAAGTATAAATTCTCAGTAATAAAAACTAGTAATTTCCCTTGACAATAATATAAT